GTTTCCTCTCACAGTCCATAGATGTTTTTTCTCTTTTTTTTCTCACAGTCCAAAGATTTTTTTCTTTATTTTTTTAATTCACCCTGGTGTGAATGTGTAGGTTTGAGTCTGTGTGTGCCCTGAGATGGACTGGCATCCCATTCTTGGTGTATCCTGCCTTGCCCCCATTGCTTGCTAGGATAGGCACCTACGAACCCGAACTGGAAGAAGTGGTTAGAAAAATGAATGAGCAAACTCAGCATGTCCAAATCCATATTTTACTGTCCTACTATGTTACATCCCCTTCATCTACAGCCTCAGCACTAAAAAATGAAATGCGAATACAGATAGACCCTGTTTTAGAATAAATATTATTTCCATCTGAGCAATCAGCTTGAGGGAAATTGAGTTCAGCTGGGGCAGTGTCTACCCAGCCTGGAGGAGACTGGAGACTGCTGTGGTGAGGCTAGGTGAGATTAATCAACCACAGATGAAGTGTAGAGAAATGCAGGGGGTCTCCAGCTAAGGCTACAAAGCATAGATTACAAGAGGTAACCTTCAGAATAAAAGTCATTATTTTATGCAGTGTTTTATGCATAGTCTTAAAAGATTTCTTTCCAGTTCCTTTACATAAGTCTAAGCAACAGAACTTTTAAATGATTTATAACCTTTAATCTTATCATGGAAGCACATATTAAAATGACATTTCTGATTATTAACATGGCTACATTTATATGCTTTATTAGTTCAGCTTTTGTTTCTGATACTGCCACTACACCTAAGCCTTTTTCACAATTTGTATCAATTAAGAAAAATTATTGCACGATTAACTATGCACATATAACTATCTTCAAAATACTTAACAACCTTATTTTTAAAAAGTTATTAAAAGAGTCTGGATTCTTAAATTCTTACGTAGTTCTGTTTAAATGAAAGAGGTTAAAAATGTAAGAAATTTTTACATATAAACAATATAAATTGTAGTATTACAGATTGTATAATGTAGCAATACAGAACATAATATTTAAGTCCGATTGGAAAAAAATATCAGTTGTAGCAGATGTTATGATTTCACTTCAAAGTTTTGGGTGATGATTCAAAATGTAAATTATGCAAAGTTAATTTCTGTTAAAATGTATTTATTAAAATGTTCAATAAATGTTAAGGATCTTGGTAATGTTTGTTATTTATTTCTTCTCTACTAAGTGATTCAACTGATATCTTTTTCCAAGATGACTTTAATGGTAAAAGGTAGACAAATGTCTGTAAATATTCTGTAACAGACAGAATTAGCAGAGTAACAGCAACCAGTGTTGAATTCAACATAACACAATCATTCATGAAATAAACAAAAGACTGAAGATACAACAACATAACGAGTCTTAATAATCTATAGTTAAAGACTTTGAACTTAGCTCTCACACAGCTAAAGTTCTTCACTTCTGAATACTCAAGCATTCAATTTAGTAAATGGTTTAGTAAATGTTCCACCGTCTTTCCAAAGCAGGAAAACTCCTGTTAGAAACATGCCAGAAACACCTGCAAGATATTTCCACAAATAAATACCTTCTAATTGAAATTACATTTAAATAGCATCTCCCAAGCTGTTTAATTTAACATATCATGCTGACTGCATATTAAGGCTAGATTTTCTCTGCAATCAAGCAGATTGAAAGGTGGTTTGAAATATCTTTCTAAAATGAAAGTTATTCTAATAATTACATTCCACATAAAAAAAGAAACTGTATAACTTTGACTTTTCAGTACTGTTACCACCATTATCTCTACTATATTATTACTTTCAGACATGATTTCTGAGGATCTATCAGCAACAAGTGCCTTATAATGTGAAGAACATCGTAAAGCACACAAAATAGACCAGTAAAACAAGACCTCTAGAAGTACAGCAGGTACAGTACATAGACAGTTTCAATTTCATACAGGGGCATCCATATTTGCAAGTCTGAAGAGTGGTCACAGTCACCAGATTGGGAGCCCACTGGATTAAGTTTACTGAGAGTTGGACTCAACTGAACACCAGGAGATATAATTCTCTGAGACTAGATCTGGAAATGTCTGCCATACAGTGTATTCTCTCTAGAACGGGGATTGTCAACACAGGTCCTTGGGTTTTGTTGCAACTAAGTCCCTTAGTATTTTAATTGAAACCGTAGATAAAATAATGTACTCATTCAACTAAAATTGTTTTCAGCAATGGAAGTATCACAGTTTGTATTTTACCCCATAAAAAGGTAAATAATTTGAAGCCTTACCTTAGTGCCTGAATGTCTAAAAAGCTAGCAAACACTGGTGTCACTAGAACCAGTTCAAGTAAACTTAAGGTGGCAAAATCTCAGACAAAATAGACTTTTAAATTAAAATAATATAATGTGACAATGAAACATTGCGTCTCAATTTATGTTAGAGCTACTTTATTTTGTACAAACATGCTCTGTCAGGATGCACATGAAAAGAATACAGTATTTTTATGATCTGACCATCAAAACGTCCTCCAGGGGGCGCTGGATTTTATAAGGAACGTCGGAGGACCGTGGTGTTCCGTTTTAGCAGGAAATGAGTCCAGTTTTAAAGGAAGTTTAGTTGTACAAAATGGCGCTGGACGGATTAGATCATGTAAGTGTTTTAGTTATAAGTTTAAAGGGTTTTTTTTGTATTAACGGGAGTGTGAACATGTTTGTGGAGATTTTCTGTATAGTGTGCTTATTTGGAAGTGGCAATCCTGTGTTTGTTTTTGAAGCAGTTCTCTTTAAAATAAAATAATCTGTCATAGTATGTGTCACAGATCTAAGCTAGCCGGTTTGCTGTCTCATTCTGTGTCTTTTACCAATCATGATGCTGATCATTTATCAGAATCGGAAAGATTAAAATGTAAAATTTCATATTAATGACAGAATCCCTGATGAATAGTTTTATTCTATTTTAAAACACTCTTGCGAAGGCTGGTATTTTTTTTTTCGGTCGTTGTTATCCTTACTAAACAATGCACTTACACCGTCTAAGAAGATAAGGCTCATCGTTTTAAAATACGCGATTTAGCTTCAAGAGTACCAATGCGTCTGAATACATTAATGGGAAATATTAAAATATTAACTTATCTGAAATATTCTTTGTTTCAAGAATCAAGTTCTTAGCTAAACTTGTGAATGTTGTCCTACCCCCCCTTAATTAAGGTCACATTACTTGTTCAACGGTTTTTCCATATTTCTGATCAACAGAACAGTCTTTCCAGAACTGTGGGCTACCGACCAGGAAAATAAATGAAATCGTACCAATATGTTTGCGTTCTCGCTCTTAATGAGAAATAACCTTAGTTTTTTTATGTTCAGTGATGCAAACAGAAACAAACAGTAGCCTTGAAGTGTCTTTCAATCAGCTCGTTCCTTTATTTTAAATACATCACCGTGTTCTGTGTCCCTGATATTCCACAATAATAGTTTATTGGTCGGTTTTGTAGATGGAGATGGAGGAAGGGAAAGGAGGAACTGGGCTCCGACAGTACTACCTGTCCAAAATAGAAGAGCTTCAGGTAAGAAATCTACTGGATATATTGAAAAGATAGGAGAATGAGCCTTTTCACATTCTTTGAATGCGCAAGTTTGACAAATAATTGGATTTATTATGTAAAGTGCAATCCAGTATAAAATATCCTTTCCTTTGAATTTGATGTTGCCAAGCCATTTCAGGAATGGTACTTCAGGTGTGTATGGTACTTCGTATTCCTGGTCTGATTTTTGTCTATTTTTATATTAGCTGACAGTAAATGACAAGAGCCAGAATTTGAGACGTCTTCAAGCTCAGAGAAATGAGCTTAATGCAAAAGGTATGTTTTCTCTTCTCTGGAAAATTCAGAGCATTTTTAAAGAGCAAATTCCATTTGTCAATATGACAGACATTTTATGCCGTAATTTTCTTTGGCCAGCAGACTTTTCTTCTGCTAGGAAACGTTTCTAGATGAATTTCTGTTCTGTTTTTTTTTTAATAGCCTACAGTAAATTATTAGCTTTCAAATATTTTTATCCTGTCAAAAAACAAAAGTTGCATTTTAGTTCCTATGCTGAATGGCCGTCCTCTTGTGTGTAGCTGTATTTCTTAAAGGCTGCACTGAATATACTGGTCTTTTTCTCTCAGTGCGCCTCCTTCGTGAGGAGCTTCAGCTGCTGCAGGAACAAGGGTCTTATGTGGGAGAGGTCGTGAGGGCCATGGACAAAAAGAAAGTATTGGTCAAGGTGCGTGCTTGTTGTCACTTTGTTCAGTGAGGAATGACCAAGAGAAAGTTTTTGATTGCACGATTAACATTAACAGTATTTGAAGATATACTGGTATGTACTACAGCGAGTATCCATCCAAATATAGCAGAGACATGGTCATTTGGAGAATGTGTGTTTGGAATTTCTAAAAACTATGCACGAGTCTATAGTGCATTAAAAATAATTGGCTTTTAGTTGTTATCGTTGAAAGCTTTTGTTTTGAGTCATTTTGGCATTGTTGTAAAATGAGAAATCTGCTTTGTCTTTAGGTTCATCCAGAAGGAAAGTTTGTGGTGGATGTGGATAAAAACATTGACATCAATGATGTGAGTATTGCCTTTTGTGTTTTTTGCTTTGCTTTGACTAAATGACTCTTGGTATCCATTGGTAATAGAATGAGCGGTGGGAAACAGTTTTAAAAATATGAAGCGATTATAATTTTATCTATATTGAACACTTAAATCATTTACCATCAATATTTAAAGAGTCTTGATACCTTTCTTAATCAAAGAGTAAATAGGAGGTGCATTTCTGGCAATAAGTTCTCAACCTTCTCTCTGAAGGTCACACCGAATTGCCGTGTAGCCTTGCGGAATGACAGCTACACCCTCCACAAGATCCTGCCCAACAAAGTGGATCCCCTGGTGTCTCTCATGATGGTGGAGAAGGTCCCCGACTCCACCTATGAGATGATTGGTGGCCTGGACAAGCAGATCAAGGAGATCAAAGAAGTGATCGAGCTGCCCGTCAAGCATCCTGAGCTCTTCGAAGCACTCGGTATCGCTCAGCCCAAGGTGACAACCTCTTGGCATTTTCTCCTAATGTTTTTTTCCCACTTTTAACAAGTTGACAGCTCATTGTAGTGTTTTGTAATGTTTCAGTTCCTCTGAATACTGTTATCATTATGTTGCGTCAAACCAGCAAAACTAATGTAAAGCTTTTGGGTTTACAGTACCTCTTATTGCATAAATGGAAACCAATCTGGTTGACGGCTTGAAAATAAGCAGTTTAACTGTACATGTTAGAAAAACATAATATGCATTTTTTGTTCTCTAAGATCAAATATCAGTTGATTATGCAGTTGAACTGGGCATGGAGTGAGTAAATTAATGAGTTAATTATGTTTACAAAAATAGAGAAGCACATGATTTTTAATGGAGATATGGATCACCTAAATGCCCAAATACAGTTGTTTTATACGGCAGTAATTGTCACCATAGAGTAGTATGTAGATGTTGTGTGAGTATTATATTCTCTTTTTGACAATGGTGCATAAATGTAATTATAAAAAAAAGTGCTAAGATAAAAAATAAACAAAGAATCTGAAACCCATCTGTGATACAGGACAACAAGATATTGATGAGTGTGGTCTTGTCTTTAAGGGTGTGCTGCTGTATGGTCCCCCAGGAACAGGAAAAACTTTGTTGGCAAGGGCAGTTGCCCATCACACAGACTGCACCTTCATTAGGGTGTCTGGCTCGGAGCTGGTGCAGAAATTTATTGGAGAGGGTAAGAACAGCTAAAAGAAGGTCTGATAGGAGACAGGCTCCACTGGTAGGCTATTTTTTCCACCTCTTAGGATGAAACTCTGGCTTTATTTCAAGGTCACCTTTGAGCATTCAGTGACTAACTGCTGATTTATCAACAGCTAGATATTGTAATGGTAATTGCATTGTATGATATTTTTAATAGCGTCTAAAAAACGTTTTTTTTTGTTGAATAATTAAAAATCTGTCTATTAGTTGTGTTTTATTGAGTATTGCTGAGTGGGTAACAGACAACATGGGCAACCTCACTAATGGCCACGCTGATGATGTGGCACTTCATCTGTGTCACAGGGGCCCGTATGGTGCGCGAGCTCTTTGTCATGGCCAGGGAACATGCCCCCTCCATCATCTTCATGGATGAGATTGACTCCATTGGGTCGTCTCGTCTGGAGGGGGGATCTGGTGGGGACAGCGAGGTACAGCGGACGATGCTGGAGCTCCTGAATCAGCTGGATGGCTTTGAGGCCACCAAGAATATCAAGGCGAGTACTAGTGAAGGCCACATATCCAATCAGGATGGACCCATTACCCTCATCTCGCTCTTCATCTGTCTTTTGCTTGTTCTCTTATACTGATTCTTCTTCTGTTATATCCTCTCACGATTGTGATGTGGATGTCCAAATTCATAAAAACCAAAATGGGGTGTTGCTTTTTCCTTCATTCGTCATCCTTTTATTCTTCATATTACGAACATCACTTACTTCAGCGACTCCTAAAACCTATTCTGCCGTGTTGCTGTTCAAAGCTTGCTGTCGCATGTCGCCTGTCATCCCTCTTATTTTGGACTGCAGGTTATTATGGCCACAAATCGAATTGACATTCTGGACTCTGCCCTGCTTCGACCTGGCCGGATTGACAGAAAAATCGAGTTCCCCCCACCTAACGAAGAGGCAAGTTCTTGTGGCAACATAATCGCATTGTTAGCATTCACATAAGTTTGTCTTAGTCAATGTTGCACATCAAAACTGCCATTCAGTGGCTTTAAGGTCTCCTTTTAGATTGTTCCTGATCAGCTCAAAAAGTATGAGACAGTTAAACACTGGTATAGATGGGCTTGTTTTTTAAAAATATGGAAGTCTTTTCATTTTAAACATCACAGTCTGTTCAATATATAATCACTTACACCTAATTATTCATACCTGCAACCCTTTTTGAATTACGCTTGGATACATTTGAAACTAGTTGTTTATACATATCACTTGGTATAGGTGTGTGACAGGAAGAACAAGCCATTTATCCTTGATAAACCGCAGTGTAAAAAGTAATTATAATCTTACTGCCATTCAAACGTTGGGTTATGGTGAATCAGCTGTGGTGACGATTTCACAGCTTAGGAAAGTAGTAGAAGTGACTAACTTTGTTTTCACAATAGGCTCGTCTGGATATTCTGAAGATTCATTCTCGCAAAATGAATCTGACGAGAGGCATTAATCTGCGCAAGATTGCAGAACTTATGCCTGGGGCTTCGGGAGCTGAGGTTAAGGTAGGTTCACTGAGAACTCAGACCATTCTTTGATGAGTATACTGGTAAAACCTAGATCGACATAAAAGAAAGTAACCTGGGTAAGAAATGTAGCAAAAGTTCGTGTAACTTTTGCATTCCACTGGGTGGCAGCATATTCATTCACAAACATTCCTAAATTTGTTCACTAAGATGATAAAATCATTAGTAAAATTTAAACCATTAGTGCATTAAATTCTAATGGGATTAAAAATATATAATAATTTGTTTACACGTTAAAGTATTTTTAGATGAAGTTGGGCATAAAGATCATCTGTTAAATTGGAAAAAATGCATCAGGATTTCACAAAGCAGCAATTACAGCAGCCATTTCACAAAGAATGGAAATACTTACTCTGAAGTCTCTGGTAACGTTTAAGTGCCTACTTTCAGAGACCCCAGCTGTTCTATCTGTTTATTACTGCTCAACTTACAGTGCCATTTAGAACTTTCACTGATGTCAGAGTGTCCATGGTGGTACCTCTAGCTAACACATAAAGCTTATTTGATGCAGAGTCTGTGGGTTGGACAGTAAATGGAAAGTTGATCCTGTTGTTTTTTTCTGCCCAGGGGGTTTGTACAGAGGCGGGCATGTATGCACTGAGAGAGCGGAGAGTTCATGTAACACAAGAAGATTTTGAGATGGCTGTTGCTAAAGTAAGATAATTTTTTTTGTTATTTTGTTTTTAGAAGACAAATGTTGCAGTTGGTTTTCCTATTCCAAAATATTCTTTTGATTCTGACATATAGACATATATTCATATGTGCAAGTCAATTCTTCTCTGGTAAATACACATTTATATTTTTATATGTAACTAAAATCCATGTGTAACTTATGACAATGAATAATATTGACATGTTTTTTTAAAAATATGTGAACCGTTATGCCAGTTAGTGCCATGTTTTGTTTAGAGGTTATAAAAGCAGAGCAGTGTTGTACACAATTCTAAAAGATTTTGTTGGGTATTTTTTCCCAAAAGTACCCCAGTAAAAATGTTAGATACATCTTGAAAACAGTAGTGATTTGTTTTCTAATTGAGTAAAACCAAGTTTGAAGTTAATCCCATGTTTTGTTTTTTACCAGGTCATGCAGAAAGACAGTGAGAAGAATATGTCCATCAAGAAGCTCTGGAAATAGATCCTGTGATGACAGGCTTGGGATGGTTTTGCATCCCAGTTGCCTTTTTCCCCTTTTCTCCTTTTGTTGTTATGTGTTACAATCTCAATAAATGTATATTCCACAAAGAATCTTCTTATTCAGTCTCTGAAAGCAAAGATCAGAGTTACACAGCAAAGACTTTTTACCATTATATGCTAGAAGGCATATACAATTTCTTATTTTGTCTATTTTAAGGCAGTTATGAGTCTCTTTTAAGCACTCACTGCACCACATTTGTGAACTGTCAGCTGCTTTTCCCATTTTCCCATTCATGTACAGGACATTGCTTAAAACTGGGATTCAGAAATATTATTTGCAGACATCAGTCGTAAAATAACATAACGTAATAAGTCGTTAACAACAAGAGGCCAGATCCCTGCAACATGCAGCATGAGTCAGTAAAGATTAATGGAGGTGTTAAAGAATCTAGGGCCTCATTTACTTAAGGTTCTAATGCAGTGTCTTATCCAAAGACAAGGGCCACACTGTGAACCATTGCATGATAAGGTGTTCCTTAAGACGTGTGCTGATATATGCCTCAAGAATAAGATGATGGGTTCATTAGTGCCTGCTTTACATGTGAAATTTATGCTGATGTATTCAAATAATGCACAAAAGACAATACGACTGAGGGAAATGATAAGCACAAGGTGTTTTTAAACCTTCTTAATTATAAGGTGAACTTCTAAGTCATGTGCTGCATAACATAAATGAAAGGCTAATGTTATGAGCAAAGATCCTTTTCATAATAGACTTCCTCTCTATTTGCTTTTTGAAACTCGACACTCCTAGCTAACGGAATGACACTGCTATCAAAGAAGAAAGAAAGCATCAGAACCTGAAGAAAAGTGTTATTTAATATTTAATATTCTCCATAAAAGAACTACTATTTTCAAGCATGAGTTGGGATGAAAGCTGGGCCAACAAAAAACTGAATTTTAATAGTTGCTTTTTTAAGCTACTGGGAAAGTCAGAGGTATTCTGAGCAATTAAATGCAAACAAGTATACATAAACCAGTTGTGTTCCAAAAAAACATCAAAATAAGAGGACCTGAAATGCATAGTTTTAAGAGCTAAACAATACTGCTATTTCATCACAGCTTAACTTTAAACATACTTTTCTGGGATATAAAGTAGAATAGTTTGAAGAAGTGTCCAGAAGACTAGTAACAACTGAAAGTCTAATAAACTGATTATAAAATGGGACAGTTCAGTATATTTTGTAGTTGAACAACACTGTAGTTGAAAACCTGGCTCCAAAGAAGTAAATAGTATGTATAGTAAATCACATTCTTCAGAACTGAGGAACATACAATGCTACTACTGTATGAACTTTAAAAAAAGATTCATTTTCTGGTATTAGACAACACTTTTACACTTTCATTATTAACATGGTACCATGACGGTTCCTTGTATGTATCTGTGATGTAGTAGAGGTGGCTCAGTGAGGAAACTACTATTGTGGTTCAAAATCCAGGTCTAATGATGTGGCTTTGATCCAAGATGGCCACCTGATAATTGAAAGCTGCAGCTACATGTATATTAGACACAGCTGGCCTGATTGAGTCCTTAGCACTCAGAGTTGTTTGGATAGGTTGTCAGAGGAATTAACCACTCCCCTGAGGGCAATTTAGGAGGTTTATAAGACCAGCTGGGTGGGGGGGACAAAGGACTTAGTTTGCATCTAGCCTTTAGCCAGGAGGCTGTACTCAGTGTCAGGTGTAATAGTTTGTTTGGAAGGCCCAGCAGGGAAGAAGTGTGCTTCAGAGGGCCAGAGCTGGCTTGCTGGACTGCAACTCTTGGGAAGTGATGGTGGCACAAAAAGTAGTGTATCCTCTCACAAGAGAATGTAGGAGTAGCTTGAGGGGGGAATACCTTCCTATAGAAAAAGTTAAAAGGGTAGCATGGGAGAAAGGAAGAAAGTGGCTCTCCTAGCTGCTTCTGGTGTGTCGGGGATGATAAGACTCATTATAGAAAAGTTTCCCTAGCCAAATGGGATCAGCCAGTAGAGACATGTTTAACCATGAGATGGTTAGCTGAGTGGCTTGGAACATGCAGTATAATGATACTCCTATTCCTTTAAAAGAACTTGTGATTGAGGAGTGGGTGTGATGTTGGTAGTAATAGTTCAAAATGAGAAAATGGACAAGGAAATATTGAGGCAGGAGGAGACTGCTCAGTCTTCCATAGATGGGGAACAGCTCAAGACCTACAGTAAGTAGGGTGGGTTCAAGAGTATAGTGGAGCAAGGAGTACTACAAATACAATAATAGCCTTGTGATATTGTGATGTCAGCCATGAGTACTACAATGGAGATACTCAGTCACAGAATTGTTTACATATAGTGAATAATGCTAATAGAGCACGTGGCATCCGATTGACATAAAAAAAAAACGGATTGCCAGAGTATATAAGTACTGTAAACAATATTTGAACTGGGGGGGGGTTCATTAACTTTCAAAGGGTGGTTAGACTGAGGAATAGGCCTGTTGAAACAAGAAACCAAGTGGTGTTCTGAAGCTCATGGTAGGGTTTGAAAACATCGTCACAACTAGGAGCAGAGTGCTAAGAGGAGCAAAATACCCCTGATGTTTTTGTTTCTATTCCGCAACAGTGCGGAACACAGAGCCTCCACACTGAAAGCACCCCAGTCTGAAACTGAAGCCAGGCCCTCAGTGCTGTGAAGGAGCAGTGCTAATCACCATGTGCCTCTACAGTCAACATATTTTAGTTTTTTTCTGAATTTAATTTAAGCCTTGGAAAATTAAAAAAAAAAATAGAAATTACATTGCCATTCTTTTGCAAGGTAGTGTACAAGTTAAATCTACAAGTTTAAAATGTTTTAAATATAGGTTCACCAAATGAATGAACAGAACAAGCACTTCCATGACAATTCATCCAAAGTGAATTGTGCTGCAGAAGGAAAATTGGCATCTTTAGAGCAACAATCTCATTGTGCTCTCAGACACCTCTTTAGAATTAACAGTTTGGGAATATTAGGGTTAGAGAGAATCAAAGTAATGTTCTGCATTATGAATCATACACTTCTATGTTTCCTCCTTTTTCACATACTGCACATAAAACCAGTTCCACGTTTTTAACATCTGCCGGTTCTATTAGAACACAAGGGGGAGGTAGAACTCCACTACATTCTGCTATGTGATCTTTTCTTTTACTCCTCCCTCTTTAATGAAGCAGTCAAAAAAGCATAATCCAGTTCTTTTTTCACTGAACTGACTAACAACCAAACTTAAAAGGCAGAGATAGACTGGTCTGTCGGGCCTAGTCGTCTTATTCAGGGAATTATTCTGCCCCAACGTTAAAGTGGTTAACATAGAAATCAGATTTAGTTAAAAGAACCACAGCTGTAAGTTTAGCCTTTCAGAAAGATTCCTTAAATGATTCAAACAGCATTGTCCCAGTGGCATTAAGAGTAATAGAGTGTTGCAGTGGGCCATCTTGTGTGCAAGTTCTGGAGATAGCTACACTTGATCTTGCTGCTCAGTAAGTACTGCATCAAAGGGCACACTCCCTGTGCTCTCAGTACTATCACTTCCCTGACATGTTGTCATTTACTGTATGTTCCCTGCATTTGCAGTGATGCTGGTAGCTTTTACAATTGCCATAGTCTTCTCAGTTATCAAATATCTAATTGTTTTATTCTTGTGTCTGATGGCCTTGGCCAGAGAAAACTTTGTGATCTTTTCCTTTCTGTTTCCTTTGCTTCTGAATAGATCCCCCCTTTAGCCAAAAGAAAATCTGTCTCATGAAATATAAAGAGATCTCATACTGTAGATGTTATAACAGTGGACCATTTCTCCGGTGCCATAGTATAATCACAAATGCCCTTGTCTTTTTAACCAGATCTCTGGAATCTGTTTCATTCTGCAATTGGCAGCCTCCATGGCCAATAATGAGTCAGCAACATGTCCCTGAGATCCTTACATGGTTTAGCCTTTGTCTTGGCAGGCACTACTAAATCTTTAAGCAGACTTTACACTTGGGGGCTGTTCACATTAAAAAAACAAAACAAAAAAAACTTTCTAGTTCTATCCCATATCATTCACTACCACCCACTGCTCCAGTTTCTAGAACAAAGACTCAAAAACGTTTTTGGATTTGTCATAGTTAGCAAGTTTCCCACATTAAGCTCCTTCTTGGCTTCCATTTCTTTTCCTTCTGCCTCCCAAAGGATGAAAATTGAAGTCTCCTTTTGAAAGCAAATATTCTACTAAAGCCATAGCAACTAATTTGTTACAACTTCCCAAATATGTGACAAGCACTGCGGAGTGACAAATATTCATGGGCAGTAGCTGTGCTTGAAGCAGGGCTGCCAAATTGAGTCTGTTTTTGCCTTAAAATGCCATACTTCTAAAATACTTCTAAAATCTCAAGACTTTGAGTGAGATAAAATTGGAAGGTTTGTTTTATTAAATTGAGCCCTCTTCAGCCTTATTGACTTTGTATATTTTTGTATATCTGAGGAGACCAGCATGCTCCAATCAAAATCCGATAACCCAATTCAATGGAGTTGCTCAGATGTTCATGTGAATCTTAAGATTTTTGTAAAGACCTGTTATGGACCTGGACATGAGTGATATAAATACTTGTAAGTCACATGGTGCAGCCACCAAAATATATTTTTGAAAGTTTCCCAGAATTTGTCTTGTCATGTCCACTGTTGATTCTATTAAAGCAAAAGAGCAAAGAGAAAGTGGCCATGTTGGAGTGAATCTCGGCTGGCTACAGTATATCTGTACTGTTAAGGAAACAATACTGGAAGAAAACCATAGTTGCCACAAACCAACCAAATGTCAGATATGATAAATGTTCATATGCTGCACACTTTTTTTTCCTGTTATGCCTTCAGTGTGATGGGTCTGTTAAGATTGAGATTACAAGTGTTTGACAAGAACGCAGCAGATGTTCCTGTTGCAGGTTTTATTACACTGAAACCTGAGGGCTGAGCAGGCAGTACCAACAGACTCCGTGGACTGGATTGTCCTGTTCAGCTGGTTTCGCCCTTAACTGACACAAAGAACAAGTACAGACTGTGTCAGCCCTCTGCCTAACCCAGGTTTGCTCTTAACCCCTTAACCACTGCCTTGCTGAATAATCAGAGCTCTGGTGATCTTATGGAATGTTTACACGCCTTTTCACCACTTGCAGTATTTACCAAAACACTGGGAGTCACTTGAACTGCTTAACTTGAACTTTTCTGGAACTGCTATAAGTAGACACACCCCATACAAATACTGGACAAGTATTCAAAGTTTATCCAAATTAGTTAATTTTGGAAAAAAAACAACAACACACTTTACATTTAATTAAAACTTTAAATGAGAAGCTCTGTTCCATTAAAAGCTCTTTTGAAAAAGTTAATAGGACACATATTTAAACACACCTTATAAATATAGATATTGTGGTGACGCTAGAGGGTGGCAAAGTGGTTAGCATTGCATCCTCACAGCCCTGGGTTCAATTCTAGACCTGCTATCTGCGTGAAGTTTGTATGTTCGACCTGTGTTCACGTGGGTTTCCTCCCACAGTCCAAAAACATACTGTTAGGTAATTGGCTTCTGGGAAAATTGGCGCTGGTATAAGTGAGTTCGTGACTGGTATCCCATCCAGGTTTACCCTGCCTTATACCCCTGAATGTAACCCTGAATTGGAAGAAGTTAAAAAACACCATTAAAGCTCTTTCATTAACACTACACAACATACATATCCCTTTACAATCATGCTACAGCAATGCAATTGTTCTTAATGGTTCAAGGCAATTTCAAAGAGCAAAGAAACTGCACTCCAGGTAGGGAGACATTACGTGAAACTGATAGAAAACACCACTAAGGACTTGACAGCTGGCAAGGATTTCAGCAAATGCAGCTCAGAAACAGTGGTCCTGGTATGCTTGCATGACATTGTTTTGCTTTTTGGTTTTTGTGCACTTTGATTAGTTGTATGTCATGTAGTGTTATGGTTATGGGTTTAATGGTTCAAGAAAAATGAGGGAAAGGAAACCTCCTTATGTAATGATGAGAAAACAACAGAATCCAGTTAAGGAAAAGTTCCAAGCACATCTAAAAAAGGATATTAGAAAAAGGCCAGGAGACAAATGGAAGGTAATATTGCAATTGAGGCTAAATACCACAACAGTATAAGAATCATTAAGGATTAACTGAAATATATCAAAGACAACAAATGAAATCTGGAAATGAAAGGAAATATACTAAATGAGTATTTAATTTTGGTGTTCTGTTATGAAGAACCAGACAACATGCCTCAGGCTGTGGAAGGACAATGTTCTTTATAAAGGGTATTAGCAGAAGAGGCAGACATGTTTTGGGTCCTAGAAGCACATACCATGAATAAATCCCCAGGGTCTGAAGGTATCTTAGCAATTGTATTCAAGGAAACAAGATATTATTCATAACCCACTGCTGCAACCCTTCCACCAGTCACTCAAGACAGGGCACATAGGCATAGACAGGAAAATTGCAAATCTGTCCAAGAGTTGGAGTTGCAAATCTAACAAGCGTAACAAAGCTGAGCCAATAAACTATAGAACAATGAGTCTGACATTATACATGTAAGGTTACGGAAACAATTGTTCTAACTCAACTACATGGAAATAGTATTCTAAGGATTAGTCAACATGGATTTAGAAAAGGCAGGTCTTACCTAATCAGCTTGCTACAGTTCATGTTACGGTTAAATTAACAACTATAATGGGTACATAGCATGAATGGTTTATTTAGATCTTCAGAAGGTTTTTGATAAAGTTCCTCAGCCTACAGCCTACAGCTGGTAGGCATTCAGGGAGATGCTTGTTAGGGACTGAGAAATGGTTAATGGTAAACATAAAGTAATGATAACGTGAGTGCAAAACATTCTTCAGGATGAACAGTGAAAATCAAAGCAGAACACACAAGCGGAAAGTGTGGAAGAGTATTTAAAACAGAGCAGGAGGAACGTCTTTACCCAAAGGGTTGTGGGATCACAGAACAAGCTAGCCAGACATGTTGAAGCAAGATGAGATCATGGGTTTAATTAACTGCTCACTACCAAACAAGCCAGATGGGCCTAATGACCTCCTCTCATTCATAACCATTCTTATGTTCTTAGGTTATGAATGTATGTAATTTAATATAATTTAAAGTTATAGCCACAAACATCTGTCTAGCTCATGGACTACGTCCTTACCCTTGGCACAGGAGTCTAAATATTATTTGAGAATTTGGGAAAATTGATTGTTACTCAGTGAATATTTTATTGCTGTGTTTGATTTTTTTCAGCAGATGTGCTCGTCTATGTTATACTGTATGAGTGCTGTTTAATATAAGACAAAATCAAATCATTGCTATAGCAGTGTACAGAATTTTGCATGTTTTGTAAGATGCAAAGGGAGCTGATAATGTTGTCAATAACCATTTTAATTGGACAAATACTTATTTTCTTTTGGAGTAAAAAATCAGATACATTTCAGCTGTTTAAAATGTATATGAGCTTAATTCACTCCTTGAAAACTACTTGTTAGGTTAAAACTTGTATAAAAGAAACTTCCCAATGAAATAACATCTAATTTTATGTTATATAATCAAATAACTTTTACTTAAAACACCCAAACTTTCCAATGTTATAACATCAAAAATGTTCCCTAAAACACCCAAACTTTACCTTTATACACCTCTAAATGGTACTTACAATATTCCTGGTTAATTATTTTAGTAACATGGTTAAAATCATTAGCCAATGTACTGTTTAAACAATAGGTAGGAAAACAAGAACATTCCTACCCCTTTATAGTACAGAAGCTACATTGTTACAGTTGTTATCTAATGCCTAATAACATAAGGTTCAGTCCTGTACAACTGTATATGCATTTAACACACACAAGCCTTTATTCTTAAAACATTAAAATGCAATAGAAAATAAAAAGCCAATTCCTCATCAAAGAAGATGAAAAAAAAAAAGAATCTTGGCAAAACTTTACAAGAGCCCAGCTCGTAGGAGTGAAAACCTGCTCATTAAATGAAAAAAACAAAAACTCATATAGCACTGCTTGTATAACTAGGGATTATTTTGTGTTACTTTTAAAACAATTCTGCAAATAATCTTTATACAATAACATTGTATTGAACTGTACTATATAGTCTTTAAGGTAACAATAATTCAGTCAAGCTGGCCTGTGCAAGCAGCTTTATTTTACAAATGTACCAAAACTGATCCCATTTTTCAATATACATGTATCTGTAAAAAAAAAGATATACAGTACAAAATGTTTTAATTTAGATACAAAACATGCAAACTTCTTTAAACACACAAAACTCTGTGCCATACAATATATACTGTATCACTGCCAGTGACAAAACCATTTCTTTGCAGAAAAAAGTCACTAGTGGTACCCAGAGCACTGTCATTAAGACAGGCCAGATGTTCTGACCATTTAGGAGAAAGTATAGAACAACAGATTTTCCCCGCACACCTGTTATATCATCTTTGTTTTTGACTGTTTTGGCAGAATTCATTATTTTCAGATTGTCTTTTACGCAGCTTTGACAGAACTTACTGTATACTGCAGATGTAAATGGAATCTGCAATGTATTGGTAATAATATGTACTGTACTGACACAATGAAGGAAAGCATCACTGCCATTCTGATGAATAGTGTGTTCTAAGGAAAAAAATATTTAACTCAACTGCACACATATATCATTTCATTCTAAAACACAGCTATCAGAAAGAGCCACAGATGATACGGACAAGGCAGTACCATTAGCACTGACAGAAAGGCATGCAAATGACATAGCAATAACAGGAAAAGACAACCCATGCAATCTAAATCACACAATTGTCTTCTCCTCCTGCAGTGTCACTGTGCCATCACTGACACAGGATGATGGCACATCATCATGTGGGACATGGCAGCTGCCAAGGGATCAACTGCCTTTGCAAATTATTCAACACGTTCATCTGAATTTAAATCCAGAGATGCTGTAATGTGCCAATCCCAGATACGCCTTCTGGTGATGCTGGCTTAGGATGTCACCATTGTATGGACGTCTGCCTCCCAAATCAAATATATACGTACAGAGATGTCTGACGGCAGTCACTGGGTGTGCTTTTGCAGATGTTGTTGCAGCAATATGGAACTGATCCCCCAGATGGTCCCTCCTAGTCTGATTGATTTGATATAGTGTCAGTTGACCTGTATGGGGATGAGTGATCACCAGTGCTGCCTATCTGCAGGTCACACTGTCAGTCTAGAGGTGATGTCCCAGCCATGAACATTCGTAAAGCGTGGCCAGTAATTAATGCCTTTAGTTGAAGGTGCATTTCTTTACAACAGTATAATATGTTATATTCACACAGGGTGGTATTTGACATGGGAGTTAGCCTGTTCAAAAAGTATACTGTATCACATAAGATGTGAGAGAATCAGAATATTGATTTTTATTTTTTCATCATTCAACAAATTGTGTGTCTGAAGTGTGTCAGCATATGAATAAATCAGCTGTTAAAGGGTTAATTTTTAACATTATATCTATGTGCATATATGTATGTATTAATGTGCTTATTTCTGTGTAAGATGCAACATACTTTACAGCCTATGAGCAATCATTGCCATTTATTTAGCCAATATTAGGAAGTATGGAATATTAAGATGTTTTAAGATGTGGCGATTAGTGCACACTATGGCCAAGCATACCACCAAAGTTTGACTAACACAGTACATATTTTTTAAGTTTTAATAGCAGTAAATCTATGAACTGAAAGGAGCAAACTAAAAACACGAGGCTATAAATGCAGCTGCACTATTGCTGTGCCCAGGCTCCTGCATTGAAATGGTTCTGTCGGTACAAGAGATTATTGCATGATAGATTATTCAGAAAGCACAAAGCGACAAAAAATAAGAATTACATTGAGGTTTTAAAACATTTCACAAAAATCATTAACATAAAAATGCAATTCGATGCTAGAATGTGATTTTATGCTTAAACTATCTAAAACTAATCAAATAATGATAGTACAGCCTAAATGAATAGATCTTGCGGCATATTTTTGAATGTTGCAGAATTATTCATTTTACATATCTTGCCTCCTTGGGCCATTGCTCACCATAGTATTTCAGAAACATTAAAACCTGGCATGATATAAACAGGGTTAAATGCTGCAGTACAGTATATTGACAGCAGTGATCATGTACATAAGACAAAGTGATTCTTTAAATATTATAGAAATATTTGCATATAAAAGATCTTATAAAAAATTAAGGTCAGTAAGGTGTGTTGCAGCTGTATATAAATATAAATCCTATATATAGTGAAATGATACCAAGGTATCCTAGTTATTCATGCAATGTGGAAGCATCTTAAGACAAACCCATAGCCCACTAGCCTGGAGTAAAACTGAAATCCCGAAATATAAAACTCTACATAGGAGGATGAAATCATTTGATAAATTAAGTCAAAATAAAATAGAAGCATGTTTTTAACGGCTAAATAGGGTACTATGTATATTGCAGTGGAATGGGATATGCAACAAAAGTACTGTATACTGTATGCTACTGTTACTTGTATAAAACACTGCGTGAAATTATTCCCATTAACATAAGCTAATTCAGACGATACACACATTTATATAAATCTTTAAAAAATGTTCCAGTCTTTAAGTAAAAAAAAAAGATACTTTCACTTAGTAAAGTTTCAGATAAAAAAAGAAAATAGAAAGCTGAGAAAAAAAATAGGAAATAGAAAGATATAGCTCAGGTAATCACTCTAAACCCAACACGTTTCTCATATTAACAATCTGGAAACAACTCCTCAGCCAACATAATCATCACTTAAATACATGGTGAAAATAAGTTTTTGGAAAAAACTTAACAAATTTTTACAACAGTGAATTCCAGCATTGAACTGGTTCCTTTTTCCATCAAAGAACAGGTTTAAAAGAATGATCCTTTGAGAGAGATGTTTGGAACTGCTAGAGCTAGTGATAGTATACTGTGTTTTTTTTGGTTCATAGTGAATATAATGGATAAAACTGTATCAAGGAACATGATTATTTAAAATTTAAGCTCCAGGTACAGTGAACAATACAAAATGCTATTTATAAAAAAGAAACAAGCAACAATAATACGTAGGCTAGCTATTTTTTTGGACCCAGCACTGTCTATTAGTTGTTGCATAACCTAAGCCCCCCTCTTAATAAAATTCTGTTTGTGCTCATAAACATGAGGGAAATTTCTTGTGCTGGACCTCATCTATCTCCAAAGAGAGGTCCTTCCTGAGTTCCCAGTGCTGACCAAACTAGTATCACAAAAAAATGATTGTATGCATTACAAAAATAGAAACATTACATCTTCCATCTCCCAACAACTGGACTAAAAAAGTCTGATAATAGTATTCAGATATCAGTCAAGATAAAAAGTATTACACTGCACTAAAAAAAGGAAAACTACCTATAGTGCAAAATGCTAAATTCAACTTACTAATCAGGAAGTGCCTCTTTCCACCACATCAGTGGCAAAATTTTAAATTCAGCTACTGTACTTTAAGTATTTTTGTATTCTCAAGATACAAAAGTTGTCACCATATTAAACAATTTAGGTATGAACTGCTCACGTGTATGATGCATTTTTTAGTACGCATAATTATGGGAATAAACTCCTGGCGGTTCTAATTCCAGTTTGCTACTTAGATGCCAGCATTTCAATTTTAACAACAAAGTCCAGATTTGAAGAAACTCCGCTAAGAACTGTTGTACCATCACGAAAGATATTCCCAGGAGTCAAGGCTGTCCAAAGTGGGTAACAGACACCTTGGAGGGCACTGGCACATGTTGGTGAGGGGACTGCTTTTAAGTGAGTCGAATCCCAAGTACCTGTTCGAGTTCTTGCCTTCGCTGCTGGACCTGCAAACAAGAAGACCTGTTAATAAAAGTATTAAAACTTCCAGAGTCTGAGGGTAGAAACACCAGTGTACACTGTAGCCTTTAAGGAATCACCTGGTAAACGATTCAGCTCTGAGTTCAAGATGTGCCACTGCAACAAGGAAGTTGCTGGTTTAACTCCAGCCTTTACCACTTGCTATCTGACGGTGAGAGCTTTAATGAACAGACGACAGCTGGCAGTGTTGCTTGAGCTACCCTTATGAAATTGTTTCTTAAAGAGACTACGTCCAATAAGTTGTGATTCCTGAAACGCCCTTCTGTACATTACCACTTACCTTTGAGAAAATGTACCTCCCCACAGCCTCCTGTACCCACGGGGCCTGGTAAAACTCAGTTCTCCTTTCTTCTTCAGGGTTTCCAGCTGTGTCAGTCATTAACTGGAATACAGCACAAACCGCTGGTTCATTAAGAGCTCACATTCCACCATGAGCCATTTTCAAACCCACACATGTGACCACCAGCAATGGTTTGGTCAATCTGATCTTTGAGGGATACAGTATCACAAGAACTACAAATCCTTTTAAACCAATTATGAATTGTATAGTCAACAAAAAATAACAAAATATTGAGCATCTGATTCACAGAAAGCCTGTAGGATATGGATCCCTGAGCACCAGATACTTTCATCCAGAGATGGGGAAAAAGGATCCGAAAATAGCGATGTCTGGAACATGCTACTAATTTACTGAGACCTCTCAAGAAATGACTGGAGGAAACACTTGGATAAAGTAAGCTACTAAATAAGCTACAGTATATGGCCATGATGGTCTCTTGCAGTTTCTACATTTATGTGCCTTTACTCATTCTCAAGAAAACAAACTCCTTATGTACAGTACAAAGCATGGCTTTACACTCTGCTGAGGCACATCTTTAAATAGTACCTGCCCAGGATAAAAAAGGTGTGGCTCAAACCATCGGCATACTACTGTATGGGTATGGTGTGATGTACCAAAGTACAGAAATGAAGACCTGTCCAACTTATCCAACTTATCAGAACTTGACAATGCAAAGTTCTGAGACTCCAAAACTAAAAGGAAATCTTACCTTATAGTCACGACATTGTGACTTTAGCCAGTCCTGAATGAACTCCTGAGGATTGTTACTGAAGCTCAGCATGAAGTCTCGTTGGGTTTTAAGTTGGTTGATGGATTCAATGGTCTCATGGATCTAAAAACAAGGTTTAGAAATTAGTTACAACAACTTAATTTTGAGATATTTTTTTCTGTCTTACTGCTCTCTATTAAGACTCTCTATTTTAAGTGTTTGAGTGTTTAATCTGTAATCAATTCTTAATATGTGCCACACATATTTCCAATTATTCTGTCCAGTTTACTCTCCCTCTAGATAATTCAGGCCCTGTGACACCAGGTGTGACCAAGTGACATCACTTATCCTTCTGTAAATCATATTCTACAATCAACTCATCTGTATGTTGCATCACTTGTAATCCAGAACATCACTCTCTAAAAATGTTACTTTACGTCTTCTCAGACAGACCTGAACCCCTCTTTTGGTGGCTCTGACAGCCCCATCCTTTCAGACAGATTGTTGTTCTCAGCTAGGCAGATAATGCCATAAAAACACCAATTCGAATCACAATGCATCTCCCTCTTAGAGTTGGTTTGAACTAGTGAATTGATTTTAGGGGAAGAGAGAGGTTGGCTGTCAGGAAACTTCCTTCAACAATGATTGTATGCTAAGATGGGCTGACCAACAGTAGATACCAATGAGATTTCATTTACTATATTCCTTAACCTTGATCCTAAACAGGCTGTGGCAGTATTTAGGATACTAGACATTTGGCAGTTATGATGTTTTTGGAGATACACCAAGTTACCTTCATTTCCAGAGCAGCAATCTCCTGCTGGTTAGTGGTAGAAGAGAGAAAACTGCTCATCTGGCTTTTTAAGGGATCGTCCACCTCTACATCAATATCATAGCAGGCTGTCTTCTTCTGGTCATTGGGATCCACACTGAAACATGAGGGCAAAGCTTAGTTCTGCAGAGCAAAAGAGGAAGCATGCAAAGTGAGGTAAACTTGCAGATTTAGTTTTGCCTCTCACCTTATGACATGGTTAATGATGATGGGATCAGGGTGCTGCAGTAGCCCAGCCAGCTTCATAGGAATTTCAGAGAACCTCATTCGAGAGCAACCAAAAATCTACAGCCAAAGAACAGAAAAGTACTGAAAATCACTTGGTGGCAGTACAACACCCTATGACATTGGCAGATGCCCTCACTTTAGAACAGAAAGTGAGATCTATATTTCAATCTCTTCTAAGAACTTTATACTGTATGTTCATGAATATGCTTTTCTGAAAATATAGGAAATAGAGTATCCAGCATTGATAACATCTTGGAATCTGTATTTCATTTGTCTCGATACTATCGATCAGCTAGTAATTCTGGTAACTCTCATAGCATGCCAGGGAATAAAAATAAACATTTAATTTATACAGCACATTTCATTACAGAGAATCTCAAATCACAACAAGTTCACATAAAAAAGCTAAAACAGTAGTCAAGGAACTTAAAAATTACTATGAAGGAAAAATCACACAGTCTTTATGCTTGCTGGTGAAGAAGGGTTTTAAAGGTCTCAGTTGAAACTGTTTCTCTGAGATCTGATCTGGGAGGCTATTCCATAAGAAAGGAGCAGAGACAGAGAAGGCAGGGTTACCTAGAGCGTGCAGTCTGGGGCTGTGGACCTGCAGGAGATTAAATTTTGACCTAATCTTAAAGACCGGGGGTGAAGTTTGAAAAAGAAAGTTAGTAGGTCGACAGGACCTTTGCCTTTTAGAGCCTTTATAACAATGAGCATTTGCTAGAACAGGGGTCATATGATCTGATTTCCTTGCTCTGATGAGTATACTGGCAGTGCTGTTCTGGAGAAGGTAGACAGTAACTAAGTTAGTTCTGGAGAGAATACAAGACAGAACTACAAGTATACATTTGCTCTCCCTCTGCAGAGGACACCAGACCCAGAGATTAAACGACAAATTAACCTGTCATACCAAGTCTGTGTGTCTCTGGAAGGTGGGAAGCAACCTGATCCCATTTGAACACAAGAAACACATGAAACTGTCAGGGATACTGCAGCTGCGAGGCAGCAGTGATAACCACCACAGCACTGTACCAGCCCGTTGTTTTAGATGATATGTAATGGATATGGAAACAATTGTAATGATAGATTAAACAAACACATTTAAGAAAGGATGCTTAATCAATGAAGATCAATTCGTCAGTGTATTCTGGTCACTGGAGTATGCTCAGCCCTTAAAATGGCACAATAAAGAATGAAAATTAAATAAACCCCAATACATTAAAAGGCAGTTCAGGAAACAAAGCACAGACAGTGGAGAAGGAGGGACAAAAAAACTGGGATATGGAATATCCAAGGAAGAGCAAGGAATAGCTGTCTCATGCTCTTCAAAAGAAGCAGGCATTGCTTTCCCCTGATCAAATGCATATTATTTAGATGAGGGGGTACTAGCATTTTGACCAGTGTCTGATTTGCGTATGCGTGTGATTTTGCAGGAAGTGAAACCCACCTGTCTGAAGTAGCGGTTGCAGTTGATGTACTCTTTCTCGTGACAGTCCTGCAGTTTGTTGGTCTTTATATACAGCCACAGGGCCTGCATGATGCTGGCGCGGGTCTGCGTGTGAACACCCAACAGCCGAGCCAGGCGAGGGTCCAGTTTATACTGGGGCGGCTGGGTGAACAAAGGGACAAACAGCATCGACTGTTCAGATAAGTCTTACATGTAGCAGCTTCTTTCTCTGATTTATGAGGTGCAGTACATGACACAATCCAACTGACAAGGTCAAAAGCTTGTCAAGAGGGATCCTTGTGTTTCTCATATCACTAACAATTTCTAACATTGAGAGACGCTCAATCTACAAAATGTATGATACTGTATGTGCACATAAAATTATAATTATTTTGAAAGACATTTCATAGGTATCATCATCTCTCAGCCCTTGAAGACCCATTGAAGTACAGGACACAGTACAGGTATAGCAGAAAATCCTTATATAAAATACAGTTTAGAAATCCTCTCTCTTCATTTTCTTTTTCACCCCGAAATATTTATTAAGCACTTAAAATATTGTCCACTATGTTATGGAGCTCTGTAAAAATATGATTTGACTGGACCAAATTGACCATTTCAAGATAAGGACTACAGCATTGAAAAAAGGACCCAATCTGTTACTCTGTTAAACTGGCACAGGTTTTTGTGAAGTGGTGACTTAACAAGAAGGTGACTGGCCCAACGACATCAAGATTCCAGTTTGGTTTGTGACCTACAGTACAATATTACCAAGGGACAGAGGTGAAAGACAGGTTTTGAAAATAAAAAAATTTAGTTGAAAAACAGGTGAAAGAGAAACAGTGAAATGGAGGTGGTGGGATGAAACACAAAAGCTACACACCTGATGATCCAGCATTAGCAGTAATGTACACTTCACACTGATGTCTCCTGGTCTCTTCACCTGGAACCCATCTGTCTCCTGAGTTGTGGGCATTCTGTGCCACTGAACACAAAAACAACGCAGACTTCAGTTTGATCCTTTGTGCACCCATGAAACCCACATCAGGACAACCTTTTCAATGTATTATTGAGAATTTAAGCAAGTTCCCATTAATATTTTTTAATGTAATTTTGATTCTGAAAGTTGCACTTTGTACACTATTTAACAGCAGAGAGATGGAACCGAGCCAATTTCAGCAGACAATCTGGAATAAATTCAACATATTTAGTGAATAGGGTCAGAATGTACACATATGCAATTCTTCCCCACGTACACTTCATTTGTAGTCACATAACTTCAATAATTCTAACTGGCACAGTTAGCACGTTCAAATAAAGTCCCACTTTTACCTCTACAAGGTGATTGTCTGGCCCATAGAGCTCTTTGTCCAACTCAATCACTAAGCTCTTGAAGAAGGATGAGAATTTCCTCTTTTGTTTCCCCGGCTGTGGAGTAAAAAGTTGTTTAAGCTACTTCCCCAAGTTTCACAACAGAAGAGATAATAATATTATGTTTTTCCTTAAACATAAAGATTACTTTTTTGTCTCCAAGCAACAATATTCTTTATATCTCTATTTTATAACCAATTCTTGTCTTCGATGATTCAGGAAACAACTGTATGTAGGATGGCAGCACATGGTGGCATTGACTTATTTGACACTAAGACTCATTTATTTCTGTTCTTAATTTGTTTTGTTAAAACAAGCCACATGACTTTATTCATATGGGTGGAAATAAAGTGGCCAGTCATTTAGCAAATTAACTAAGCAAATGTGAACATCTTGACATGATTTTCAAAAACTGGTGTCAGCGAGAAGGAAAACATTTTGAATTGTGTTTGTTACTGTGTTAAGTTTTCTTAAGCTTTTGTCTACAATGCATACAGAAAGGAAGCTGCTGATGGGGAAAAAAGACCTTTTTCAGTTTTAAGGGCTACACTCTTGGGAAAGTTCTGCTAGTTTAAGCTGACCACATCAGAAGAATCTTTGGGAGACATAAACATTCTGTAAAGTCAAACAAAAAGGGCAGTTTAGCCATTTTGAATCGCTTATGGCATCTTTTATTGAGCAATGGCACTTCCTGGCATTTACCACTGCAACAAATTGGGTTCCTCTTTTTTTAATGTGGCTGAAGTACATTTTAAAGGCTGGATGAATCTGCAGACTTCTCATACGGCACTAAAATCTGTGGGCTGAAAGGCTCTCTTTTAAAGCAATTTTTTCCATCTCGGGGGAACATTCTACCAAGAAACCATCTGTTTTGTCTTCAGTCCTAGTTGAGTCTTTTATCTAAATCCAGTTTACAACCAGACAATTGCATCTCTTCATCTTTTTCAGACTGCAATATTATCTTTTACCTTAACAGCAAAAGCATGTGTTGCAATTTGTTATGAACTGCTTTGTGAAAGCTACAGTACATAGCAGGATCAACTGGGAGCACACTCCCTCGCCTCCAAAACAATTAATTTATTAACACTGTCAATACGTTAACGTTAATTTTTATATTAAACCATTTTGTCTCATCTTTTACAGCCTTCTAGACTCTATTTCCAATTCAGTACATCAAATCTGCCACATAAACACACGTTGCGCTGTTCCCTAACTCGGGCCTGGGTGACAGCATGTCCTCGGTGGCGTGCTGTACGCCCCCCAAACTCCCTCAGCCCACTCACGTCTTCTAGGAGTTTCCCCTCCACTCTCAGCTCCCAGGAGGCAATCTTCTCTGCGTCGTCTCCCTCGGGTTTGGCAGGGCTGTAGGTGTTGGAGATGTAGATTCGCAACTTGCGCTTTTGCTGGGTAGGAAACAAAACAGTCAAAATGCAATTTTTGTTTATCACAGGTCACTCATGTTTCAGCTTGTCTTTGTAGAAACCCTTACAACATAGGGCTAGGACCTGCATCAGTATAATTTGTATACTGTACTTAAAGGTCATATGGATAAAAATATATTGAAACATTTATATTAATTATTGTATCTATTTTTTGTATTTATTTTGTACTTTTATGATTCTATTGTGTATGTCATTCACTGTATTTTGACAACTCTACAACTTTTTAGAAGTCTGATGTACAAAATTGAGTACATAAGAGAATAAATGCTGTAATTATTATATTATGATCAAAAATACTATAATCCTTATCCAAACCTATGTCTGCTCATTAATTTTCAGCCCTTCTACATTTTTGTGTACAGTATATAAAAATTTCGAAATATCCCAAATCCTCGTAAAAAACATTTGTGAAAACAAAAACATCAGGTACTCTTTTTCTCTTTATCTCTATCTGCAGTAGAATTTAAATAATTGAATCATAAAAAAACCCTAAACCTGAACAAAGTAACTGCCAAGACCACAAAACATACTTATATATTCATGGATAAAAATAAGAAAGACATAAAAAGAAACATGGCCCTGAATATTGACTAATGTAAGGGCACTATCATAGAGCACAATACTAAGATTTATTTCAAAACTGATGGAAGGGTTTCTAAATAAACTTTCTGCATCCCAGTAAGAAAAAACGAGTAAAATACCGTTATGGGTTTCTTAATGGCTTCCTGTATCTCCATGCGCTTGCGAGCAATGGTCTGATCAAGCTTGCGCTCAAAGGCCAACAGATCCATGTAGGCCTGCGACTCTGGCACCAGCTCCCTGATCTGAAATAAACCCCACACAACGACTTGAGTGAAATCCTTCTTTCCTCTGCAGCAGCAAATGATTTTAAAAGCCACGAACAGGAAGAGAAAGCACTCAAAACCACCATGCTTAGCCGCTTCTTAATAGCTTATTGATCTTAGAACCTCATCAGCTTGTTTTCTTAAGAATCTCTGTGAATCGGCAAATGCAACTGTGGTCCAGTAATTCATTGACTACACCCACTGGCTGTGAAAAGAATTGACTGCTACAGTATCTTCATTCCCTGATTAGTTTTTAGATTGGCCATGGTTTGTGCGCTAAGCCTAAGGCAGAGGTCGGTACTCTCCATCACCTTGCCTGTGAGAATCTGGAGTGCCCTCTATATCAACTATTTCTTTCCAGGGGCTAGATCCAAAGATTGATTTCAGTATTTCAGATTGTGTCATTTACTCCTTAAGTGAGCCCCAAACTCATTTCCCAGATCACTTCCCCCTTCTGAGGTCAGGTCAATCTGGACGAGCTGTGTAACACAAGCCCTCTTTCGAGAGCCATAGCGGGACAAACTGATCTGTCACTCGGAAGCTAAAGCAATTTGTTCAATGTGTTCTGATTAGTGGAGCTGCAGAGGTAAGAGAAACAGTGGAAAATTGTGACCACAGTATAAACATCTGACGTTGTCAGAACCAGGGAGAGTTTAAAAGTAACGGACAGTGATAAATTAGACATGGCTTCAGTAAAGAACACATGAGCCATGAGTTCAGGGAAAAGAAATACAGGCACGGCAACTAAAACTATGACTATTTTCAATATTTCAATCAGTACAGGATGAAGCAAGAAATCTAGGAAACACAAAACTCTTCTTTATTGAACACAAGCCAAAATGCAAACTGTTGCTAATGTATCTTCACAAACAAAAAAGAACATTATTATAGGTTAAAAGACATTCCTATTAATTTCTAATTAACAGGAATTTACAAGAGGGTAATATGTTAATGTGTTGAGGGTGAACTCAAAATCCTAGTGACGCATGTTATTTAACCCTGGTGTCCACACAAATGAAGGAACTTATTAAGAAATAGCTCATATTTACTGTAGAAGTAGGTGGGGCTGCAGGCACTGTATCAGAAGCATACTCAAAAAGATGTACTATTGTCACATACAATACCTGACATTAAATTTAATGGGAATAAATACAAGCTATTACATGCAGACAGCAAAAATGTATATTTAAAACCTCAACAGGGTAGTATTGAACTAAACAAAAAATGCATAATAAAACTATATTTTATAATAATAACCTTGAAACTCATTACTTTTCTCATCCAGGGAGGATGGCGAAGTGATAAAAAGGCCAATGATTAATTAGACTAATATTATATCATGTTAAATGTTAATATTAGACAAGGCAGACTGTAGAACTGGGAAAGGGAAATCATGTTAAAATCACTTAACACAGTAGTTAGAACTCCAACATACACAGGGGATTGTCTGCTTCCTCACATTGTCTTAATGAGGACATACAGCATAAGAATCTGTGTGAGAATCCAGATCTCTTTCATTGTAGTGTCCAACAGCTCAGAATCACTCAGGTTATATGTATAATGTACATTCCTACTTCCTGTGTGGACATCTTTAATATGAGTAGTCACATGGAAATCAAATAAAATGTTAGTAAATGTAAAGTTTTGCATATACAGTATGTAGTAAACAAGGCTGGTGCAGAGAATTTTCAGATTTAGGGCTGATGCTGATGTTTTCTATACTCTGATTGTATAGAAAACTGACAAACAGTTATGGGCTAAATGGCCTGTTTCTTATTAGTTCATTTTCTTCCTTAAATATCTCAGGTGTACAATATAATATAAAAAGTGAATTAGAACATAATTGTTCTTAAAAAGGCCATAATTATACTCCACTGTGGTGAGGCAAACATACCAAATCTTTAAACAAAATGCAATTTAATTAATTCTCTTTGTTTACTAAGCCCAGTTTTCAAATCTCGTGTTGTACACTACCTTATCAGTCTGTAGCCTGTTTCACCTGAAGCAATCGTTTGTTCATTTTCAATAGCAAGATACATTCTCGCACCATTCAGTATATTCAGTTCCTATATATATACCAAGGCTCATTTTGTCATTCACAAAAGTACCAAATCATGTCAGGCAAGAAAGATTAATAGGTTTTATTAAGAAATTAACTGTAATCCCCTGCAGTGTGACATCAGACGTGCAAAGTTCATTTGAAACCGACTTGATTTGTATACAGCATGGAGGTTTCAAAAGGAACTGTAGCTCTTTAAAAAAAGCTTAGGCCTTTCATACTACAGTAGGTGATACTGATTACAGGCTCTAGCTTAAATATACATAAAAGAAGCAAAGGATTTAGTGCTGTTCTACTTGCTTTACACTTACCCTTTGTGGTAGTATCTTGTCTGCCATCTTTCGTCTCTTAATGCTAAAAAAACAAAAATGTTAATACACGTATATCTATGTAAAGGTCCAGATACCTTTTGATATTAAATGTATTAATTCATATTTTTAATGTATGTATTAAATTTAATACATATTTATCTTTGCACAAATAAAGCATACAAATCCCTAGGAAAAATTTCATAGTTATACAGTATATCCATCACAGTAAAAGGGTTATTCTCTCAATGATCCTTGCTTAGACAATCTGTCAGCTGCATCTCAGTATAACAAGTGGTAAAAAAAAGTTCACGCTCCCGTATTGTATAACAGTGTGAAAGCATTTTACACAATTTTATAGTGTTTAATAGAAAATAATATACATAGAAGAAGCTTTTGCTCAGAAACAGTTTTTATTGCTGTTATTTTTTCGGATACATAACTGCTGTTCAGAATCTGTGAAGATTAGATTCTGACACAGTGACCTTGCTTGTTATATTTATGCATCTTTGGTGACAAAAAGGTCAATACAAGTAAACATCAATCACTACAGACAGTGTACAAAATACTGATGATCAAATATTTATCATTAGACCTCCCCCATGCACTTGTTTTTATTTCACACCTGTAATGACCTGTTTAACTCAGATCTCAAACAAATAGCACTTTTGTTTTTTTTTTAAACAAATGCTTTGGTTTATTAAGAAAATACTACCTTTATATAAAATATATCCAGTTGACTATCTCCATAGGGATACTGTTTTATATTTGCTCCAACCACATACCTATAATATTATATATATAATATTATATAGTAATACCTGTACTCTATATACACACACAAACACACAAAGACTCCAATAAAAATAAATTCTTCCCTTGGATAAATGTTAAGTTATGGCACTTTCTTTTACTGTCTTAATGCCACTATACTACTACTGTAGGTGCCTGGAGCTAAACTGATTTAGGCAGATAACAAAGAGTCATGGGACAGCCCTTATGTCTTGTGTTTGTTTTGTTCTTGGGATATTTCAAACCCATGCCACCCCCTGGAGCCATAATCAACAAAAATGCTCTCATTGTGGGGTACAAAAGAGTCTTTCTAAACCATTTCAGGACCTAGCCATTTCTAATTTACTGATAAAACACTTTGAAGATATTTAACAGTCATGCCACATAGCTTTGGGTACAGAGGGGATCACTTGTAAAACATTTATCTAGAAAGAAAAAATATAAATGTGAATGTATAAATATAAATGGATGAAAAATAATATATGATATGATATTGTATGATACTGAGTTTAAGAACAGAAATGCACTAGCTGCTAGAGCTTTCAGTACACTTCACAAAGTCGTAATAGTAATATTTATATATAAAATTACAACTTAAAACACCTACCATACGTAAATAAAGAGTAAAGTGTTGTCCCTTTTTTGTTCACAGACATACTTCATAAAATCATTCCCCTCACTTATTTTCATATAGCAAAGTCTGCCCTTTATAGATGGAAATGATGTAATTATTGGAGTACCACAGGTACAGTATACTGTATGTATGAGAACCACTGCTTTTTTAATTTACATCAATGATCTCAATTCTGGCATGGATATTAAACTACATAAGTTAGTAGATACAGCAGAACAAAACAGGAGGATTGGTAAATGGTGCACTAACTGTGTCTTACGCTGACTTACAATGTCCTACACTGTCTGGCTAAAAGAACTGAATCTTTTTAGTCAACAGAGAAGCTACAAGGGAACCTGATTCAAGCAGCCTGAAAGGAATGAACAAATCACAGGTGTAAACTCCAGGAAGAGGGAGGCCCTTTTCTGCACGGGGAGATGCGGGAGTCTGGATCAAAATACTCTGCTGTGTCATTTAAATTTATACCCTGTGTCATTTAAATTGATACCTGCTGAATGAGATCATCAATCCACTTGGCTATTAGTTACAAAATGAGCTAGATGAGCCAAACAGCCTCCTCACATCTTTCTAACTTTCTTTCCGTCCTCTGTGGTCCGCCTGACGCCACACTTACCCCCGTCTGTGGCTTGCGAGTCCTTGATGCTGCTGCTGGAGCAGTCTCTTTCGGAAAGGGTCCATCGCTGGCTGGGGCAAACCTGCTCTCATAGGCAGGCCGGAGCTATAGGAGGGTCCAGCACCAGGCCCCACTCCCATCCCTCCCATTGGCATGCCCCGACTGGGGGGCATTCCTGGGCGCTGGGCAGGGCAGGGCAGAAGCAGAGACATTAAGTCAAATACCTTAGAGCTCATCAAGTTCTTAAAACTCAGACCACCTAGTAACAAAAATTAAACCGGATTACTCGGGTTTCATCCTCCACAACTGACTCTTACGTACACACAATTCAAACACATGCGCATTTGCTAAAAATGACATCAAATCGGTTCTTATAACAGTAACAAAATAAATCCCTTGATTTAGGTGCTGGCTCCACTGACACCTCTTCCAGCAGCAACCTCAGCTTTCCCCGGAGTCTCCCATCCAGGTACTGGCCAGGCTCACTCCTGCTGAGCTTAGTAGGGCTGCTAGTAGTGAGCTGCAGGGTGATATACCTGCTAGCATGAAGCACACACACCAGATGTTCTAACCTTGTGTTCTTCTCTTACAGTATGTATGTAAGTAATCAAATCGTAAACCTTATTGTGAATTCATTTTTTATTTTATTTTTGCGTTTATTCAGAGACATTTTAGTGCCTTTGAGCTAATTAACTACCCCAACACACACTGTTTGCATACAAACTATCACCTTTTTAACCCATAGTGGATAGCCAGGTGGGAAGTTTTAACTGATGGTTAGTGAGAAGTTGCTCATTTTACATTCGATTAAGAGAAAAACTCTTTTGAACAAGACTGTATGTAACTACACTTATTATTATACTGCTTCTGTTACTGGGCTGACCTACTGTACACCGCCGAACCCAAACACTACGTCGCTTTTCTTTTGAATATTATCAATGGGACAAATGACCAAATCTATAAGGAACACATTTCAACTGAAAATGTTTCATTTGCATAAAGCTGTTCACTTTTTTGAGCAACAGTATTGCCACTGTAAGAAATCTGATAATGGCTCTTTATGCAAATTTCCTGCATATATTAACCACTGGTTTGCATCTTACCGGAGTTTAACTGTTTATTAAAAGAATGATACTATGTGTGTAAACCCACATGTATACTGAAAAGGGAGAAACATATTGTTCTTCAAAATATCAGGGGATCTTATTTGGGTTTAGAACTTATAGAAAGTATCGCATAAATACATTTTAGTTGGTCCTACTCACTATTAAACATTTGGAACAATTCTGTAAAATAATTTCTCAAATTGTATTAAAATGATCAGATCTCAGTTTGTGTGGATCAATTTTGAAGTTACAGTACATTCATGCTTGTTTTCAACAGTATCAAGTACTAAATTACAAAAATAAAATATTTGGTATTTACCAAAAAAATATGTGTTATTGCACACAAAACAAATTCCGCATAAATGAATAATATCCTTTCACCTGCAGTTAAACTCCCCTTAGCTGCCTTGTTTGACTCTATTAAATTAATCATACTTGATCAAATACTTCTTACACTTTTTCCATGATCAATGATAAGAGCAGTATTACACTTCTGAAATCTGATTTAGCAAACTAGTCTAGCTCTGCTTTGCAAGGTGTGTGGGATTTAAATATTAACTTCTTACAGAATACCAACTTTATATTTGGCCTGTTTTAATTACCTTTAATTGCCACACTGCTAAGAGTACAATAAAAGATTTGTACATGAGTTAATAGGTAATGAACGGGGTAATTTGAAAATGTTCGTTGAGAAAGTTCTGAACAGGTAGATATGGGACAGATTCATTTTTCATTAATTTCTTCTTTGAGCGCTTTTCTTGCTTTAAGAAACTTCAAGTGCTCTGACACATTTGTCCACGTGTCAGCGCACTTCAATGCATGAACTATTTTAAATAATTAAAATGGCAGTTTCCTGTTTTTAATTTGGTAAAAATACTTTCCTAATGCTCTTCTGGGAGGGATTACAATAACTGTGCTATATATCGCCACGGAAAGATATTTTGTATCACATATAAATGCGAAAATACAGTACAACGCTTTGCAATGTCTTCAGCTTCATTCAAGATGTTTTTTTTTCTCGTCTTCTAGCGATTCGATCGTGCAAGAGATGCCGAGATATGATATTAGCGATCGAGACAGGATTTCCTGCAAAAAGACGCATCTGCGTCTGACATTTCTTATTAAAGCCCAGCACGTTTATCGGATGCTGAGTAGCTGGGCAGAAATGGAAACGTTTGTGTTCTGCTCCGTGCGAACACTGTACGACTTGAAGTTCTCCTTCCCAAAACAGCAGTTTCACTCAGGATTCGCCCTCCCCCAAATGAAAGCACGGAGGCAGATGCAATTACTGAACTGTAAGTTTTAGAAGTACTGAGAGCAGAACGCGGACTCACAGCAGGCACTGACATACCGTAGAAACCCAGCTAGTTTTGACAGATTACTATCCTGCACCGACTTTCCTCCCCCTTCCCCCTCGGCTTTCCCATTTCTGAACTGTCCTGTCTTCAGCGGATACCTTCCATGTAGCAACCGAAGAGGTATCAGTGCAAACGCGAATGTAACCAGAAAGAAACGAGAGAGGGGAGTTAAGAAGTGTCAAGTCACGAAGACAGCGCTCGCTCTCCCTCGCAACAGAAAATACAAACCACATGAGGACAGGCTATGTCATGTGGGACTGGTTTCGGTTCCTCTTCAAGCGTTAAAGTTAACATGTCCTAACGAATATCCCTTTCCGGGACAACTTAACGTACTCTTTTACTGCTATGCTCTGGTGTTTCGGTGCTCTCGGTGTTTTATTCGGTCACACACACACACGCACACGCAACATAACGGCATATTTGTCTTCTCTCACACACATTCAGGCAGCGATCCTTCATAAATGCGGAAGTGAGGACTTTATCAACCTAGCACTCTGGTTTTGTGTTTTTCGGGCCTTTGCAAAAAATGACAAAACGGAACAATTCTCACTTGATGCCTCCTTTAAAAAACGTTATTGATGTAGTCGTGTCGTTTCCATGCACTCCAGTTCTCTAGTGCCATGCTGATCATACAAACGTTTCTGTCTTTTTTTTTTTTGTCCAGTGAGGTCTAATGTAGAAACACGGATAAAGTTGTGCTTTAACCGCGTTTCAGCTCAATTCTGCAAAGTACATTGTATTAATTCACTTACACCAGCTCATTGTTGTTGTTGTTTTTCTAGTTTTCACGGGAACACCCGACTTGTTTAAATTTACTGATTATTAATAATACAAACCAACAAAACAAACAAACAAAAAGTAACATACACAGGACACACCGCGTTAAAGCAACGTACTGTAAGCTCCCGCTACCATAGATCATACCGATTAACCTAATGACAGAGACCGGAAATCAATCGAATAATTTAAATTACAGTATAAACTTTTTTTACCCGATAAACTGGTCTACGCACTAGGCGCAGAGAAGAACAAACCGCAGTTACCTGATGGTACGGGGAAGCAGCTGAGCCCATGGCCCGGAATCCGCTGTTCTGTTGCATTGAAGGAACTATTCTGACACCCCCCGAATTCATAGGGTTAATATTAGGGTTCAGTGGGCTACCTGTATTCATTGGGTACACACCTCTTGAAGTCATGTTAAAGCAAATTTAGCTTTAGTTTTTTTTTTAAAGAAAAAACAAAGATCGGCGATTACTACAACCCTTGAAAGCGGCAAACTTTTCTTAACAACATAAATACGAACAAAAACAAATTGGATGCAGTTAAACGTCTATCTTTTTTTTAACCCTACACTAGTTCCTGGGTATTTTTCATAAACTCACTCACTCCCCTCTTGAGCAACTCAACGTTGGTTGTATTGTCGGTGTCATCATTTCCCATGAATCTAAGGCTTTGTTCAAGCCCCCTATTTATTTTAAATGGTTGGCACACAAAAAGAATTTAAGAGCCTGACCAATGTCTAAAGATAGCGATCAGACAGGGTTTGGCTGCGTGTGTCTGTAATAACACGCAGCCTCCTCCTACTCCGTGGTTTGCAGTGCAGAAAGAATTCTATATGGCGCCCTCTGCTGTTTAGTTCCGGTTAGAGCTGCGTGTATACCGCCGGGGTAGTTTGCCCGGTTTGCGATTAGTGGAATGTTGTGGAAATCGTTTTTTATAACGATCAGTAGTACAAGTAGCTACAAAAACAAGATCTGTAAGCCATCTTTTAAAATTTGCAATAGAGCATCCGTTTAGTCCATTTTGATCTTCTGGTTTGCTTGCTCAGCTGTTGTCTTCATAATTCATTGCGAAGACCTGAAACCGTAACTGTAAGAGCAAATAAAAGACCAAGTCAAAATTAATAGAATAAAACAGCTTTTTTGTTCTATCAAGGCTTTCTCACCTAATGATAGAGACAGTCAATGGATTCATGGCCCAATGCAGGATACCTACAGTCTACTACTCAGGCTGAATGCTCCTTACAGACAAGATTTCGTTGTGCTTGGGAGATTTCTTGTCTGCTTCCGTATTAGAAATAGAAAGCCAGGTAAAACCAGGGCCCACTGTGAAAACGACACACATTAAAAGATGTCACGGCACTTTTTGCAAAAGCTAGGATGTCATATTGTCTTGACCAAGCTGTGAACCATGTAATCACCACGCAGAAGGTACTGTATAGCACTCCGAAATCAAATGAGGTGGTAGCGTTGACTATCATGCCACCCTTTTACAATACACCAATGTACAATGATTCATTCATTCTGGGTTTTGATATGAAACATTAGGTTAACCGTGACGAATGGAGTGAGGTAACTGCAAACTGCCGTCACTCTGGCAGAAGGGACTTACCCAGCCTCTGACTCTAGGACAGTTCGCACATTGAAGCAGCACCCATCCACAGGACAAGTGGCGTATGACTGGCATGGCCTTGGTATTATTGAACGGCATATAGGATTACTTCTTAAAGAGGAGTCAGAAGCAGACTGCAATTATTATTTCATCAGTCTCATTATCAGTTTAGTTTTGCATTTAAAGAAAATGTGGACAATTGAAATTATCCCTGTGTCAAAGTGCAGTCTCTTCTGGGGATTATTCTCCCTGCACCTTGCTTTCCCAAGATAGCCGTTGGGTTGCTGTGATACTATCCAGGAAGAAGTGACTTTCTGTTTCTATACACATGCTATATCTGCCTAATATGACAATGACATATTATAGGATTTATACAATGTGTTTTTAATTTTACAGTTTGTTACAGTTAATTCAAACTTCTGACTTGCAATCTGCACCATAAACATCCTGTGTTGTCTTCCAATGTATTGACCATTCCGTGCCCATTTGACATTCAGTACTATTCACACTCCGCATGTTTAGTTTCAGCAAAATCTTCCCACTAAGCTATTGCTTGGGGAAGCAGAAAAAGAGACTTATTGACCTCTGCTGCTAAGGTTATTTAAAACAAGCAGGATCCGATTCCTGGCTTGCCAGGAATTGATAAATACAACCACTGTACATTCTATAAGTTGTTGTGTATATTGGGAACAGATAAGCAACAGCCAGTCTTTTACATATAAGTTATATTTTGTCAATGTCACATGCATATTAAAAAAAGGATGGCTGACATACTGTATTTGTCAGCAGCAAAGGAAATCCAAAAGTTTTGCATAAGTCTCTGTGATGATAGATACAACTTCAATAAGAAAAGAGTTAAAGAAAGCTGTATTATTCAAAAACATTTCAAAGAACCATGTCCTATTACAGTTAACAACCATTAAAATGTGTCGAGTTTTCTCTGTGTTAAAAATATGGATCTTCTTCATCACTGTATAAATTAGGCCCTGTTTGAGCAATGTGTTTATGCCTGTTCTATTTACCTTTAACACATTTGTATCATCTCTTTGGAAGCTTCAATATTTCTATTGTAAGGCTGTGCAATATTGTGATGTAGAACACATGAGGAAGGATTCTAAGAAATGTAAAAGTAAAGAAAGCTGTAATAAAGTCTTATATAACAGGCACACCTACAGTTTCACTCTCTGGCGTGTTTCTCAATGGATTAAAAATATTGTGAAAGTTTAATTTACATAAGTATTAAAACCTGTTTGTAAAACAATGTACCATAGCATTCATTATTTGCCTGTGCCCTTTTTGTAAAAAAAAGAATTGGAAGCATTGATTACATAAAAATGAAGCAGGCAATATTAGTTACCTTTGCAGGCTTAAATCATCTTTGTTAATTAACATACTGTATATATCTGCCCCAAGAAAAATTATAATAAATCCAATTAGCCAATGTTTTCTAACAAAATATTATTCTGCTGGTCTCCAAGTGTTTAACCATGTAGAATGATAATTTATTGTAAGAGTTGGGTTGTCCACTCGAGTGTAAATATTTACTTATAAACTGAATAGATTATACAGCAAGATGAATTTTAACTAATAATATCCCAAAGAATAGTCTTATCTAGACACTTCCAAGACCTGTTTTTCCTCAGTGATTTAATGACCCCAAAACAAAACATGCAAAAGCTGTTACAAAAATATTCCTGCAGGAATTGTCATATGAAAATTGTCCCAAAACCTATTTGTTTTTAAAGATCAGTTCTTTGTATTGTATAAGAACAACATTAAATATGTTTTTAGAAAGGAATCTTTTGTTGTACAAATTGAAATGTTACCTTTTTGTTGAATGGTATGTTATTTTGCATAATATGAGTAAATATTCTTTTTTTTCCCAATCTAAACAGAATGCCATTTGCAATGCAAATTTTCTCTTTGAGCTACTGAAATATTTAAAACATGACATCAATTAATTAAATGGATCAGAGTAGGTTTATTGAACAGTGAATTGTCATACAATGGTCTTGAGCAAAAAGCCAACTGTCCAGACGCATAAGGTAACCAATCACCTATAGGACCTAGAGCTGGTCAATAAACCATAACTGCTTCCTCAAAAAATAGCAAAAATAAATGTAAATAAAAGTGGGGGTAAAAAGGAAAAATGCGTTTACAAACAGTGAATCCCAGCTGGCTGCCTTCTTAGGAGGCATCAGCATGACAAGTATTCTTCTGGCAAAAGCTGAAAATCAGATCGATAGCCTTTTCCCAAGTCTTTCACAATCTCAACTAGCTTCACTGATGTGGCAGCTTTCTCTGATTGCCAGCTGTAAGTCGAATGTAATCCAATGTCACACCAATAAAATAGCTCCTTGCATTTATGTTCCCTTTAATCCTCCATATAAGCATCTGTGATATTATCTCATAACATCAGTTCACGAGGGTGGCTGTAGAACAAGTTTTATGAGTATCTTTAAATCTTCACACTCACCAGCCTACAAATAAAATAGTCATCAAATTATTATTGAATAGTCACCATTTCTAAATCTTCATATAATGGCCAGTATATTAACTAAATAAAATCATCAGCATTGGCTCGTACTGTATATTTCTTGTAAGGGGAATCAGTAATGGTTAAAAATGCAATGTTAGCAGGCGATCAATGGTTTCTTACCATCAGACCCTGAATTAAAAATGAAATTATCCCTCTGGAAGTAGTTGAGATTGTTTTGTCATTTAATATGAATGGCCAGTAGAGGGGGACAAATATTTTCTAAAAAGGTGTTCTTTCCTTTCAGATTTGATTTTAAATGGAAAAACAAACACTTCAGAATGAACATTTTTAGTCTGTATTTAAAATTGATTTCCCACTGAGGTTGCTTTCCTAACACCACAGTGCCGCTTGGGTACAGCACAAGGTCAGTAAAGATGGGTGGTGTGGAATTGTGAGCTTGCAAGATTTTATTTGTAACATAATTCACCTTTCACATTTCCTCAGAAACATTATTTCCGCAATTCAGAAATCTAATGTCACTCTTCACTGAAGCATTTGTATCAAGCCTAACTGCCAACCAGCAGACGTATCAAGCTTATTTTTCTTATTTAAGAGCTGTTTTAACAGTCAAGCCCACAAATGCCCAACACTAATGCAAAACAATTTTTACAGCAGCATTCAATTATACTGCAGTGTAGTTGGTATTATCAGTACCTGGTAATCCACTCACTTAAACTTATGGCTTTTTGAATTTACTGCAGTCATATTTAGAATGTAAAATTATTTTGGTGATGCATCAGTATCTTAAGTTCTTTGATTCATGTTTTTTTTAGCCTTGACAACCTTTTTGTTTTTGGTTCCTTGGCTTAACGCACATTTGCTATTCTCAGCATGTCTAGGACTAAAGTTTCAAGGACAGCTTTGTTAGAAAATTTAAAGCAATGTCCTTACAGTTTTAAGCCTAGCCAGCTTAAAGGCATAGAGCAGAAAAATAATGAGTACAATATAGACGATCAAGGATAAC